GGCAGCTGGCAGCCCTGAAAGAGCCAATAGAGCCCAACAATGGGTCATGGCTTTGGCCACAGCTTGCTTCCTGCCTACTCTGTGTAAGGATTACTCTTCCTAAGCACTATTCCTATGGAGGCCAGATGTTCCTTTTACCTGCCTCTTCATACGAATTGAGTTCAAGTCTTCTCATAATTAGAAATGAGCCCCTTCAAGTCTTGGTATTCAATTCATGCATGCTGACTGCTGTTCATTGACTCAAGATGAGAGGACTAGGTTCTGGCAGCATTGACAGAATCTAAATTTGAATCCTTCACAGGGTGTGATGCTTTCACTTTAGGTTTGTAGGTGTACTTGTCCTTTTATTTTAGGGTTTTTAGTGACACGTGCAATAGTCAGATGTTGAGGGTGGGTTCTTCAGCCTCTGCACTCTTGACGTATTGGATCGCAGACTTAATTGTCCTGGAGAGCTGCACTGTGTGTTTGTAGGACGTTGAGCAACATCCCTGGGCTCTTCCCAGTAGATGCCAATAGCACAAAACCAACAGTATCTTCAGACATGTCAACTGTCCTCTGGGGGAAGATAGCCCTGGCTTAGAATGACTTCTTTAGTGCTGATTCAGTGGGCACCGGGGTTGCTGTCTCACATTTTCCACCATGCATACCTAATAATGCAAGTGCACAAGGGGGGTCACTGCTTTTCTAGACATTTAAGTTAGGTAGTTTTGTAATGCTGTGATTATTTTTGGGAATTGATCAAAATCAGACACATGATAACAATAGAACTTAGAAAAAAATATAGATAATACTTAATGATTAATAGTTCAAGAAACCATGAATGGTTATAATAAGATCTGATATCAGTGCACAAGATCAGGTTTATAGCTAAAAATAATAATAGTATGGTGTTGCATCTCACAGTTTTTTAGGTAGTTTCACATAAATTTCCACGCTTGATTCTCAGTCTGTGAGGTAGGTGGGGCAGATATTTTTATCCTCAAGTTGCAAATGGGGAAAATATAAGTTATTTTCCCAAAGGCTTATATGTTATACTAGAGACTGAAGCAAATCTTAACCCAAGTTCTCTGACACCAACTAGAGTAAATTCTCAGTCTGTCTCCTTCATGATTGTAGCTCCCCCACCCCAACCCAAATAAAGGGAGCCAAGTTGATTTCATGATGGCTTTCTTCTCTGACTTTTATCTCTGTCTGAAGGATTTGCCTTGGGCAGTGGCAAGCTTCCTGGTTCAGTATAAAAATCTCTCTGGAATTATGTGAAGGCTAGTGATATCTCCTGATGGTAGAACTTGAGTTTCTTTACTGTCTGGCCCAGCCATAAATCTGCCTTTGTGCAGTGGCCCTGGCTTCATCTCTGCTTGTCCATCCCACTGGTCTGCCCCCAGCCCTCCTTCCAGGCCCTTCACAACACCATCTGTCCACTACCAGCTTTCTCTTGTTCTCTGTCTGGGCGCAGCTCAGCCCAGACACTCAGTAGTCAAGGAGTCTAGGCTTTTTGCAGTAATCTCTGCACTCCTATGCCAACAGAAACTACTCTGGACTCTGACACCTCAGTGTACCCCAAGCTGACTGCAAAGGAAAATGAGGTAAATCTTGAATTTCCTCCTATAAGTTATTTTTCTCTGGCTCCCAGGGGTCACAGTGGCTGCTGAGACTATGATGGCATGTTTGGGAAATTCCTTCATGTTGCTGGACATTTCTGATGTGAGAATTGGTCACAAATTAAACACTGAAAAAACTTCCATGATTGTCTGTGATTTTAGCTTAAAAGACTCCACAGCACATTCATGTGAGTAGAAATTAGAAAACAGAAAATGAAAAATAAGAGTTTCTTTTTAAGGTTCATGGAATTCTGACCAACGAAGACTATTCCGGTATTTCATTTTGATTATCTAATAAATGAAAATAACTATAAAAAGTATATGTATAACCTATACTATAGGTATATACACTCAGTGTCATGTTGTTGTTTTTATTCCATAGTGACTTGTTTTTATAACTTCTTTATGAGCTGTGGGCTTACAACACTACACATCAATATACTTAATATATATTAATGCAGGTTGTATACCTTAATATGTGTTATTGAAGTTAGTTTATCATTAAGATATGTATTTTTGCTATTTTCAGACATCAGGCCTTTTAACTATTCTCTATTTTTTAAGCATTTACAGGAAATTTTGGTGTTTTTTTTTTTGGCTTTCTTATTAACAAAAATGTTTTAAAACTTGCATATCATAAAATTACCTTAGTAAAGGAGTTTGGGCCACAGGTTGCTGAAAATTTGACTTATTTATTTTCTTGCTTCCAGACAAAAAAAATCATAACTGAGGGATGATGGATAAATGTCTGTATACTTTGTTAAACTCCTCAGGGACAATAATTATATCATTTCTCTCAGGATTATCCTTCCTGTCAAGACATTTCTCATGAGTATTGGATAAATTCTTCTTGTAGCAGTTTATGGCCATTTTTGACTTGACTTTTTCACTGCCAGAACTGATCAGATGTGTGGAACAGCTGGAGGACCCTGAGCCTCTGTGTAAATGGGCACTGTTACTCCCACCTTCAGTCTCTGCTTGACTACTCCCCTTCAGGCTGCACCTTCTCAGTTATGGAGATGTGTCCTGCCAGGCCTGTGCATCAGTCTTTCAGTCGTGCCCCCTAATTGAGGATATGAAGAGTCCTGCTTTTGGTCTGTATCTTAATCAACCTTCTAACATGTGAAGCTGCTTTTTCATTCAGTTCAACAGGTGTTAGCCGAGTGCTTCTTATGAGCCCTGTGTTTCAGGCCTCTGGTGAGGCAGGTCTGGTAAAAGATAGTCTTGTGTTGTGTTTCTTGAAATGTAACATGAATAAAAAATTAACTGTTGAATTTCAAAAGTAGTGAGATGCATTTCGGTAGACCTGCTGCTGAGGCACCAACCTCAGAGCTCTTCTGCAGTTTTGACTTCTGGTCTTTTATGCATCGGGGAATATTTGACTACCAGTCTCTCACTGGTCTGGGAAGCTAGAGTATGCTGTAGCTGCTGGCAGATCAGAAGGGCTGCCATAGATAGAGAGCTAGGAGCTCTTCCTCTTCTAAGCATCACTGGATGGCGAAATTAAAAAATACAAAATCTCAGTCCTATCAGCAAGTTGTGAAGGTCTCAGACCAACAGTTCAGGTTTTGAAGTTTTGAAAGGTGAGGCTCTTGTGGTCCAGTCCCAGTGTCAGAGACAGGGCCAGTGTATCTGTGGCTGTGTGAGAGAGCTGCCCACTGTAAGGTATGTGCCAGTTACAGAGCTGGCTCCATTTCAGCCTCCTTAATTAGATGCTGGCTTCAGTTTTAATAGGCTCAAATGAGCTATTAGATTTCCTGCCCAAGTGGAAAATCTATTTAACTTTTTTCCTCTCAATTTAAAATGTATTTGTATGGATAGACTGGAGCAGGAGACTTGTCTTTGGCTTAGTAGAGGAACTTGGGTCCAGTGCCATTTACTTTCCCTATCATTAACTTCAAAAGTCACTGCTGAACCCTCCAAAGATGTACAATAGCCAATAAGCCCATGAAAAGACATCCAGCATCCCTAGTCATATGGGAAATACAAATGAAACCAGAGTGAATATACCTCTATCCCCAGGATGGCTGCTATCAAACAAAACAAAACAAAACAAAACACCCAGCAAAAACAAAACAAAAAATAGACGTGAACATGTATTGGTGAGAAGGTGAAGAAATTAGGACTGATGTACTGTTGGTGGGGATGGAAGATGGTGTAGCAGCTGTGGAAAATGATGTGGTGATTCCTCAACGAAGTAAAGATAAAATAACTTGATCTAGCACTTTTACTTCTGGGTATAAACCCCCAAAGCTGAAGGATATTTGTACACCCATGTTCATGGCATTATTATTCACAAGAGGTGGAAGCAACCCAAGGGTTTATTAATAGGTGGATGGATAAGTAAGATGTGTACTTAGAAGGGAAGATTATTCAGCCTTAATAAGGAAGGAAGTTCTGACATGGATGAAACTTGAGGATACTGTGCTATGTGAAATAAGCCAGCCACAAAAGGACAGATACTGTGTGATTCTATTACATGCTTGGGGCGGGGATGGGGGGGACCTAGAGTTGTTGAGCTCCTAGAGACTGAAAGTAGAATGCTGATCTCCTGTGTGAGTTGGGAGATGCTGTTCAGTGGGTGCAAAGTGTCAGTTTCATAGAAGATTCTAGCAATGGGTGGTAGTAATAATAAAACAATGTGAACTGTACAATTAAAATGGGGAAGATGTTAAATTTGATGCTAGGCATATTTTTATCACAATTACAAATAAAATCTGAAAAAGGGGCTAAAAAGTCACTCTTGCAGCCTCACCATGACTGTGAAAAAATAAAGGCTTTTTGTGCAGGCAGTGAATGTTGCCAGAAGGCAGCCCCCAGCCCTGGCCATCCTCCTCCCCTCTCTGATGCCCTCTGTGTCTCTCTGAGGCTGGCCTCTTGCCCCAGTGAACGTGTGCTTGAGAAAAACTTAATTGTGTTGCTGAGGTCAACCTCTGTATCCTAAGTTATTTTAGCCAGTGACTGTTTGCTGTGATTTTACATTTGGACTTTTGTTTTTACTGTTGTTAGAGAACAATGAACCACTCTTGTCCTGCCAGGGCAATGCCCCTGCACTCTGATCAGTGAGTCTGAAGGTTGTTTTTCTGGTCACAGTGGTGAAGGATGAATGGCGCATGACTCATTTGAACACTCTCACCTGCTCTCCCTTAAAACAAAGGCAGACTTTCGACCACAAACTGGGTGTCCGGTTTATGGCCTTTATAAGACTGGATTGAGAGTTCTGGCTTCCTTTACATCTTCAAATGACTTTAATGAATCAAGGACATCTCATTTATTGTTTTGACAGTGATTTTGGACACTGGTTGTTTCTTCAGATAATCTACATTAAACCTTTGTTTCTACTTTTAAGGAGCTGAATGTATAATGCTTATGGAGTTCTCTCATGTTTCTGTTTTTCAGCATCACTTCATGGACTTCCTTCTTGTGCTTGTAAAATTTGCTATGCAAGGCCATGTAAAAGCCACTGACCATTGACTTCCTTCATCGCAAAGACTAGACTGCAGGTAATCCCAGCTCACGTGCGTGGTTCATGTCAGGTGTGTGACTGACTAAGGTAATAAGTAAAGGTTTATTTGGTTCAATGATTTCAGTTTTAAAGTGTTTGATAACTGCCACCCAAGAAAAGCCATTCATTTACCTTCTATTTTGTGGGTGTACATTGTTAGATAAGCAACAATTGGAAACCTGCAATGTATGTATGCTGAGAAACTTAACAGGGAACGTAAGCTACCATTTACCTCCCACAGTGCCATACTGGTTTGCGTGAAAACAGTGGGGGAGGGCATGGAGCATATTTGCTTTGCACTTAGGGATTCCTGTAGGTTCCTTGAGGGAATTAAAAAAAGTAATCTTTCAGCTGCTGCCCACATTCTAAGTCAGCTTTAGACATTTTTTTTCTCTGATCATGTTCTAAAATGAGGACAGCTGAAGTCTTTAGACAAACTCCAGAAATTAGTTTTATTGAAATGTTTTTTTTCTCTCCCAAATGAAAGTTCTTATGTCACCTCCCATCCCCCTTCCCTTTTAAACCTCATCCTCATTTTTAAGGACTTCAAACCTTTTCTTTTGTTGTATTTCTACTTTTGTGATATATGAAAACTCCAGTAGAGCCTGGTACCTGGAATTATGTTATTGCAAATGTGGTAGGTTTTTAGCAATAACCTCTAACAGAGTTGGTCCTCTCTATCTGTGGGCTCTGTATCCACAGATTGAACCAATTGTAAATGGAACTAAGTTTAAAAAATCACATCTGTGCTAACCACGTGTGTGCCATTTTTCTTGTGATTATTCCCTTAGCAATACAGTATAACCACTATTTACATAGCATTTACACTGCATTCATTACTACAGTAATCTAGAGAGGAGTTATAGTAGACGTGGGGATGTGGTTGCTTCTGTGCAAATACTGCACCATTTTTTGTCAGGGACTTGAACATGTGAGGATTTTGGAATCTGTGGAGAGCCTGGAGCCAGTTCCCCAATGTGTGTGAGTTGTTAGCTCTTTCAGTAATTTATGTGTAAGAAGAATGTATCCTACTGATTGTTGATAACCGTATGTTCAGGTGGATGGAAAAAGGCCATTTGCTTCCATTCAAGAATCATTGTTCAAAACCTGCCAACACTAAGTCTGATGGAGGTCTCTGCCATCAGCTGTTTTTTATGTCTATTTAATTTCTACATTAACATGGCACCAAGAACGTGCTTCAGATAACCAGCGCACCAGTGTGCAATGTTGTCTGTGGGGCTAGTGAGCAGCTTTGCACAATATGGGAGCCAATTCAGTAGCTCTTGTTTCTACTCCCATGAGCCTGTGAGTCCCAGAAAGGAGTTGTTTGTTTCCTAGGTAATGTGCAGGACATTACTTTCCAAAAAAAAAAATTCTGTCATAATGGGGTATAATATTAGATCCTGGCTCTCACTGATATAACTGTTCTCAATTTAGGTTAAAATGGGGAACTCAGAAAGTCAGTACACCCTCCAAGGAACTAAAAATCACAACAGTACTGTTACTGGTGCTAAGCAAAAGCCTTGCTCCCTGAAAATCCGCAGCATCCATGCCAAAGACGAGAAATCATTGCATGGATGGACTCATGGAAGTGGTGGAGCAGGTTACAAGTCCAGGTCCCTGGCCCGAAGTTGCCTTTCTCACTTTAAAAGCCATCAGCCTTATGCCACAAGACTCAGTGGACCCATGTGCAAAGTCCCCAAAGGACTTGTCTCCTCCAAGCATGGGGCAAACGGCCCAGGACATGATTTCCAGGGCAACAATGCTGCTTTCTCACTGGAGAACAGCTTCCACTGTGTTGGCCATGAGCCAGCAGATAACCACATCACCTCGAGAGACTGTGGCAGGCACCTTCTCAACTGCTATGGGAGAAATGAGAGTGTGGTCTCCACACTGCCAGGCGAGGACCGTCGCAGCCCCCGAGTGCTCATCAAGACTCTGGGGAAACTGGATGGATGCTTAAGGGTTGAGTTCCACAACAGTGGTAACCACAACCAAGGACCTGCAGAGGACCCCAGGGGACCGGTGCAGCTGCTGAGGTACTCGCCTACATTGGCATCAGGAATGTCCCCTGTGCCGGAAGCCAGAAGGGATTCCAGTGCTGACTCCCCATCCAGCCAGCGCCCTTCTCCTACTGACTCTCACCTGCGCTCCAGCAAAGGCAGCTCCCTGAGCTCTGAGTCATCCTGGTACGACTCCCCTTGGGGCAATGCTGGGGAGCTGAGCGAGGTGGAGGGCTCTTTCCTGGCCCCCAGAACACCTGATCCCAGCCTTCCTACCAGCTACCCATCCAGTGACACCAAAAAGCCTTTCAACCAAAGCTCTTCTCTGTCTTCCCTCCGGGAACTGTACAAAGATGCCAATCTGGGGAGCCGCTCCCCCTCTGGCATCTGCCTTTCCGATGAATACATCAGCTCACACGCCAGTCTAAGCAACCGTGTCTCCTTTGCCTCTGACATCGATGTGCCCTCCAGGGTGGAGCACAGGGAGCCTGTCCAGTATGGCTCCTTCACCCTCCCCTGCCGGAAGTCCAAAGCCTTAACCGAGGATACTGCTAAGAAGGACACCCTCAAAGCCAGAATGCGACGCATCAGTGACTGGACAGGGAGCCTGTCCAGGAAGAAGAGGAAACTCCAGGTGAGAACACCCTGGAGAATAGGGAAGGGGTCCTGAGTTTCCCCATCTTTAAAATGGGATTGGTATTAGAGCTGCACAGAAGCTGAGGTAAACTAGTGAAAGTGGAGTTCAGTTTACAGATGACCATACCGAACCTATTCAGTTTTAGTTCACAGTTCAAAAGCAGAGCAGTTGCCACTGTGTGTCAACCATTTTTTGTCATGTGCAGGTCCTCACTGCCCAGTCTTCCCGTGAACCAAATCTCCTTCATTGCTGTGTCATCCACAAACTTAAATCTAAATTATTTGTGTGCTGGTAGAGATGAGAACAGAATGGTTGGAATTTGTCTCAGCCAGTTTCTGCCGAGCACTAGGGATTCTCACTTGGTAATGAGGGTCTGAAGGTTGGCCTGTGAGCAACAACAAGGCATCAATTTAGTGCTTTTTCCAGTGTGTGAGGAATGGTGATCAATTTTTCCTTAAGGTGTTAAGCGATAACATTTGTTTGCTTCCGCTTTATTGTGATAGAATTGAGAAGTAGAAATTACATGTTATTTATGGCTCAAGTGGTAGAGCATCTGCCTAGCAAGTATGAGACCCCGAGTTCAAACCCAAGTACCACCAAAAAAAAAAAAAAAAAAGTATATAACTTGATATTTTACAGTACATATACATGGAAAATGACTACCACAGTAAGCTAGTTAACATTTTCATCACTCCACATAGTTACCCTTCTTTTGTGATGCATTTAAGTAGCATTTAAGAGCTACTTTTTAAGCAAATTTTAAGGATATAAAACTATAGTTATCTATATTAACTCTTGTTATAATGCTGTCCATTAGATCTGCAGAACATATTCATCTTATACAAGTAAAGCCTGTGCCCTTTGACCAACATCTTCCTGTTTTCCTACTTCCTGTGTACTCTGTCTCTGTGTGTCTAAGTCTTTTGGATTCACATATAAGAGAAATGGTGCAGTATTTGTCTTTCTATGGAGTGACATCTCTTCAATCCCGCTCTACTTTTAGCTATAGTGTCCTGGTCATCAGGTTTTACTAGTCATTCCTTATGATTATCTGATTGAGACAAAATGGAAATCCTATGCTTTGTGTACATACATAAAAAGCACCTTAGTTCCACACACCATTGTTAGGAATTCTATCTGAACCTATTTAAAGACATATTTTATTTTTTAAATGACCCTGTCACCTTTAAAATTCATCGTTGGATATTAGGATTCTAGACTGAAAGTTTTAGAAGTTAATTAGAAGACTGGAAATTTTTATACCTTTGTAGAAGTATAAATGCTAATATGTAACATTTTCCCATGTTTCAGGGAGGAAATTTTTGCTTTGCTATGGTTGAACATTTAACAGTTAGTAGTACAACTTGAAGTCTCTATGTTAAGAGAATCGGTGGCAATGGTGTTTATAGGTCACCTGTAACGCTGCACTTACTAACTTCTCCAAGGCAGAATTTGCTTGTTTTGAAATGCTCCCATTATGACTCCTGCAGGGAGATAGAGGTAATCCCAGTGTTTTTGGCCAGTGAGTCAAAGAGTCATATTCATAGCCAAAATGATGTTAATACTAGCTAAATAAGAAGTATTCCTTCACTCCTTTATAGTTTTTGAAGATCTACAAAGTGACAATTAAAACCAAATCTTAAAAGTATTTTGAAAGTTTCCTAAGTGACTCACAGCAGCTGGTTTATTTGCTCTGTTCTGTAGAAGCATCAGTGTGTAAATAACATGACTATGGGACATGGTGTAAGCACAGTGGAAAATAATATTTTCATTAGTAATAGCTATGTTTGTGGCTCAGTCATTTATAGCTCCTGGGCATTTGGAAATACTCTTTGGTTGCATGATGGTGATTTTCCTATTGAAGACAGAAAGTAAATGTGTTTAGTTTCTGGATGAAATTTCTGAAAAGAAAGCCTCTACACATGGTGGAATATACAAAATAAGGCCTTCAGTTGATGCTCCTTGACCCCAGATTCACTCATTTTTGTTTTAAGGCATGGATATATTATTGAAAGCCCAGTAGCAGCTGAGTAGACTTGAATGTGCTCAGCCTTTCTCTGCAGCTATCTTGATCTAAGCTATACATTTGTAATGTCAGCATCTTATGAGCCAGAAGTAAAATTCACTTCTTGTTGAAAAATTGAGTTACTGCTGTTTACCAATGAGTAGCCCATAGGATAGTTATTTTTCTTGACAGATAATCTAGGTATTAGAGCCAGAGTCTTCATGTTTTTAGCTCTGTGCACGGCAAGCTTGATGTTCAGTGCATCTGGTCCTAATAGGAGACAGTAGTTATTATGTAGCTGTGGGTTTTCTTTAGAGCTGCTTGTGTTTGGTTTATATGATGGCATCAGTGTTAAAGTTAAGAATCCTGATTTGGTGACCCTAGTACTTAGAATAAAATAGGTATTCAAAGAAAAGGATGCGAGTGAATGAATGAGTACATTATTTTCATGAAAGAAATTCCCCAAATAAATAAGAAATCTGAATTGTGAACACAAGCTACCATTATTAGGTTGTACCCTTTGTGGGTGAGGAATACTCGGGGCACAATTTTTACTATGTGAACTGGGAAAATAAGATGCTAGGGATCTTTAAGTCTAAAAGTCCAGACCTGAGCAGTGGGCCAGAAGTTGAAGACTGTATTTGCCATAGGGAGAGAAAGAAGAGTTTGTGGGGTTTTTCAGAACACCACCAAGTCCCTATCCCCTACCCTGCCCTGCAGTGATTTTCTAACTTAGTTTTCAAGTAATCTAGGAGGAAACTAGATTGCAAGAATATGAATTCTTTTCTGGAAGACATTGATTTATAGTTAGCAAGGAAAAAGCAATATCATCCTAGGTAGCTTCACTAGTGTGCTCTGAATATACTAGTTAATTTCTTGATGCTAAACATAGGTTAGATTTAGGAGAAGCAGCACTGTTTTATTTACATCTTTAAGTGTGGCGTGCACTGTTGTAAATTGTGTTGGGTAACACTCTAGAATTCTTTCTGGTTTGGAGATATAAGATTAAAAGGGTGTTTTTTACTACAAGGATCTTGCTTGCAGTACCATTATTAGCCATCACCAAAGGTGATGTACGCAGGAAGGGTGCTGAGCTATGGAAACCTCTGATGGGATCATTTGTGTTGTGCACAGGAGCCTCGGTCCAAGGAGGGCAGCGACTACTTTGACAGCCGCTCTGATGGGCTGAATACAGACGTCCAGGGACCCTTGCAGGCATCTGCTTTACTGTGGTCTGGGGGCTCTGCTCAAATCCTGTCTCAGAGAAGTGAATCCACTCATGCGATTGGCAGTGATCCCCTCCAACAGAACATTTATGAGAATTTCATGCGGGAGTTGGAAATGAGCAGGACCAACACTGAGCACGTAGAAACATCCACAGACACCGTGGAGTCCAGCAGTGAGTCACTCAGCTCTCTGGAGCAACTGGATCTGCTCTTTGAGAAGGAACAGGGAGTGGTCCGGAAAGCCGGGTGGCTCTTCTTCAAACCTCTTGTCACCTTGCAAAAGGAGAGGAAGCTGGAGCTGGTAGCTCGGAGGAAGTGGAAACAGTATTGGGTGACACTTAAAGGTAAGTGTGGGGTGGTAGCTCACTGAGGGTGGCAGGTAATCCTTTCCTTTGGCTGTACCTTCCCAGGAGGTGCCAGAGAAGGCAGCATTGGATTGAGTTAACATCAAGGGCTTTGATACAGAATCTTATGCCATGCTGTACTGCAAATACTTTACCAACCTTGTAGAGTATGGTTTACTTACTATTCACACATATAGTTCGGTCTAATAAGTAATGATTTCATTTAAAAGTCATTGCTTATTATTTTCTGTGTCTATAACATTCTTTGACACTTTTGCTGTATCTGGGAAAAAAAAAACCCTAAATATCTACCAAAAGTAGTTTACTTATTTGGAATGTAGGTCTTAAATTTCATATTCTACAGGTGTTCAGAAGTCCAAAGTGGTTTTCTTCCTAGCTTGAGTATTATCTGGATTTTTAGACTTTTA